GTGGAGCAGGAGTGTTTGGCTCCATCGTTGCGTGGCCAGGTCACCGCACAATATTTAAATACCTTTGAGGTGCGCACGCCTCAGGATGGGTCACTGCCTGGTGTGTGGGCTGCTCCCATGGGTCCTGGCACCGTGCAGGGATGCTAAGCTGAGCGTTCTATCCCAGTTTTGTGTGTGCCTTTTGATGGATGATGAAATCCTGCTCTTTTGGAAGGGCTCCCCTACTCGTGCTCCATTTTGGATCCACTATCTCCGCAGTCCTGAAAAATTGCAGAAAGAGTAGAAAACATGAGTGCATCCGCAGCTCCTTTTCCTGCTGGACATTGTGCTTCTGATTCGTGTCCCTGGGAGCCAAGAGGAGGTCTGTTGTGTCTTAGCTTAAGTGGATTCTGCAGCGGAGTATTTCGTGTCTGAGCGTTTGTGGCCATGTGTGCTGTCCTGCATGTCCTTGAGGGTGAGCATGGCCCTGGCCGTGGGATCTGGCTGCGGGAAAGACCCCTCACGCTCAGATTTCTTTGGGAGCAGCCTGTGTGTTGATCTCACCAGCTGATCTCTTGATGCAAGCTCCCACTTCGGGGTGAGGTTGACTGGCTTGGGTTGCCTCTCCCTGATAACTGGTTTTTAGGCTTCTCCTGTCCTTTGCCTGTTCCTTCATTGGATAACCCTAGGGACTGAACTGGACCACGGTTCAGGAGAGCATCCCTGGCAGCTTGTGCAAACGTACCGCTGATATCCACAGCACCATGAGGCTACAACAGGCTCTGCAAGGACCCAGTCCCTCTCCTCCTCCATGCTGCAAGCCTTCTCATCCTTTCAAAGCATTAACCCTTTTCATCCTCTGTCCTTCAGGCTCCCTTTTGCTCATGCGCAGAGCTCCGTGGCATCTCTCTCTGCTGCATCAGGCTGCAGACTGCGGGGAACAAATTCCTGAGGCCAGAGCCACCAATGCTGACCTCGAGGATGGGAGCGTGATGCTGAGCCTGTGCCATGGGCCGGCGTCTGCCCTCTCACTGCCAGCAGGAGCAGGCACCCATGAGTTAATCCCTGCCACGGCCAGTGGGGGGGGTGTCGGCCAGTGTGGGGGGTGGCAGGACCGGGCAGCCTGGGTTTTTGGCTGGAGGGCCATTGCCACCAGCAGCATGGCTTGTACGTGAGCCTTTCCACAGCTTGGGCTCCCACTGAGGGGAGATGGCGCCAGATGGCCACTGTGGTCCCCAGCAGCCACATCTCATGACCTCCAGGCAGGACAGTGGTTGCCTGCCTGTCTGGATACCGTCACCTCCTGTCCCCGAGAGGGGAGCACGTGGCGGCAGGGAGGACAAAGTCTCCCAGGGGTTTGCACATCTGGTGCCCAGCGTGGGCCATCCCCGTGAGTGCTCAGGGAGGGACGGCCAGGTCCCGTGGGGCTTGGGGTGGGCAGGGCTCCTTCCAGCCAGCCCGGGGCCAGGCTCTGCCGGCGGGATGGGGCAGCCCTGGCTGACATGGACTGGTTCTCTGCTGGAGGCTCGGAGAGGCTACGCCCTTAAACAAAATGCACTTAAAATCATGTAATTACAACGATTATTAACACTGTTTACTAGGCCAAGATCTGCAGGGTTGGAAACAGTAAAACCCAGACTATGCAGAAACCACAATGTTCTGAAGTACCCAGTGGATTTGGTTGTGTTCGTTGCAGAAGGAGGGATAAAATGAAGTTGTCTTATGCACATCCATCCTCATGTGCTTTAAAACAAAAAAAAATCCTCATTACATTGTTTCACGAGGTAGGTCTGGCCAGCCCCATGCATCCTTTGGCAGAACCTCAGCCTTTTCCATGGGTACACAGATTTATGGCATTGCAGACCTGATGGCCACACCACCTCCCTGATGGTTGCAAACATCCCACAGCCAGAAAACTGACCTGCTGGGGGCAGGCAAAGCCCCTGTCCCCTGCTGCGGTGTTTGCAGGAGGTAGGTAAATAATTAGCAACAAGAACTGGTTATGGTTGAGATAAATTTAGTTGGACTCTAAAGGCAGAGGAGGTGGGACCTCCTCCCACCACCTCCCCACAGGATGGGACTCTGCCATCGGCATGAGGCGGTGTTGGCTGGTCATCCCTTGAGGGCATGACATCTGTGGGTGTTGTTTTCAGCTATCAGTTGCTCTACCACAAAGTTTAGCTCTAGATAAATCAAGAGGATTTCACTGAGCCCAGATGACTCATAACCACAGGGCAGGAAACTCTTTTATCTTTGGGGCGGCCAGTTTAATATAGATAGCTGTTCACTCCTGAGCTCAGAATAATTTCCGTGTCTTTACTTCTCATTAGAAGCAAATCAGATGAGGGAAAACAGAGAAATTTCTCTGTGTTGCCTCTGTTTCTACCATCTCTGAGAGAACTTCCTCCAAACTGTGCAGTCTGCCTGTACTGGGTCATTTGCCATATATTTTAATTGGCAGAAAAAAAGGGCTTTTGCGCCAAAGCACCACTCCTTTTTTAAACCTTGATTCTGTAGGCATGGATGGAGCAGAGATTTGTTAAAACAGAGTCTAACCCAGCTTCCAGAGAGGTACTTTTGTGATCTTCCTTCTTTTCCTGATGTGGGAGAGCGTTATTGCCTCCTTGGATGAAGGGGAACCACAGAGGAATTGGGCACCTACCCAAAGAGCTGTCTTCCCCTCCGAGCAGCAGCTGCAGGTGGAGAGAGGAGGACTTGGGCAGCAGGAAGCTCTTGCACACAAGAGAAAAGCCGGAGAGTTTCTCTAGTTGGTTATTTCTCTTTCCTAAGTATGTCAGATAGCACTTTGCTTCTTGGGCTTGGTCCATGGGTCAGGACTTGTTTGCCTCTTCCTGCCAGTGTGCCCTGTCTGCCCAGGCACGGGTGGCTTTTTGCTCTTAATTCCTGTCCCCAGTGACAGCAGAGCTGCGTGATGCTTTTTCACTCCTTTGCTAGCTGGGATTTTGTACTTGCCATCTGTAGAGGCTTGTATGCACCGAGTGTGGAGCCCTTGGCATGAGGCATGCCAGGAGCTGCTCCACATCCACGATGACACACGATGTGCTCAGGCTGCCACAGCTGTAAGCTGACGACTCCGTGTCCAGAGCCGGGTGGGTCCCAGTGAGCCCAGTGCTGATTCTCCAGCCCCTTCCCTGCCTCGTGCAGGTCTCTCCCCCAGTGCTGCTCCCCTTCCTCCCCACCAGCACCAGCAGGCCCAGATCTCGCCAACCTCTGCATGGTCGCTTCAAGGTGTCTGGGCCACCTGAAGCTCACGTGATTTGTGTTCACTGTCCGGTCCGTAAAGCCCTATGTTCAGATAACATCCATCCTTGGAGGAACCCAGGGCAGCAACCTGACACCCCGGCTTGGGCCCCACTTGAGACCTCTAAATCCCTAGGCTGAAGCCAGTGAGATGAGTGATTGGCAGGAGCCAGCCTCCCCATCATTTTCCGCTTTTAAATATCCCGGTAATAAAGGGTAAAAATCATTAAAGGACTTCCGCAGCTCACTGTGCCTAATCTGAAAGCAGGAGGATGAAGAGCACGTAGCGAGGTTGTTATTAATATCCTGCCTCCTGATGATGGCTTTACAAACATCATCATCACAGGCACAGCTTTGCGGTAGCATTTTGGCATGACCTTCTAGACAAGCGTCCTGCTTTTTATCACTCTGATCCCTTGCTTGATATTTAGCCAATCAAGTGATACGGGGAAGACCTTGCCCCTAAATATCTGACCTTATACACAGGGGTATGGGGTCAAAACTGAGAGAAACTGTGCTAAGCGTCATTGTGCTACATGCTCTTTAGACCACGTAGACATGCTCCTTGCCTGGGATCTGTGCCACGGGCTACAGCAAGGAGGGGATCAGATGTTTGACGCCAGTGAAAACCCTCGGTGCTGTAAGGGATGACTCATGGGCAAAAGCCCCAGGCAGCAGTGGGGCCACGCTCGCACTGAAACTGGGGACTTTGCCGGTGGGGACAAGAGGGCTTCACGGGTTCAGGGAGAGGGGCAGCTCCCTCTCTGCGAAGCCAAGAAAAGATGTCAGCTTTCCTAGTGACTTGGACATGTTTATCATGGTTATTTAAAGTGGAAATCAAAATCAGAGTGGAGAAAAGATTTTGTAGCTTAATCAGCGTGGATGGAGAAGGTGAGGAGCAGCTGTGCAGCCTGTGTCTGCTGGTGAGGAGGAGACTGGGGGTCACTGATCCCCACTGGGACCTGGCATTGTCTTGGTGCCATTAGAAATGGCCTTTTTTCCATTCCTCGCTCTCGCTTCACTTTCAGAGGGTGCCCTTTGCTGGAATAAAGACCCTGGGCAAAGTCACATACCAAAGAGGGCTGAGGGACAGTGATAAGCGCAGGAGATGGGTTCCTGCTGGAAGAATGGATGTGGAGAGGGTGCGTGAGGACATCCCAAGCCAACTGCGTGGTGGGCAGCACTCACCCAGCACGGGGCTGGGGGCTGTCAGTCCCTGTGGCTCCTGCTGCTGAGGGGGTCCAGGCAGCCCTGGATGTGGCAGCCCATCTCTAGAGGTTCTGGGAGACAGAGACTGGGAGTAAGGAGAGGTTTCCCCAGTGTGACAGCTGGGGACCAGTTGCAGAGCTGAGTAGCCTGAGGTTGCTTGGGGCTTCCGGGCTCAAGGGCAGCGTGGGGCCAACCCGGCCCTTGGGTCTAGAGGGAAAAGTCTCACCCACAGGGCTCGTACAAGCCCCTCAGAACCCTTGCAGGGCCAGCAGCAGAGATGGGAAGGAAAAATGGGCTGGCCTTGGTTGATAATGGATGGATGAGGGCATCACTGGCACCTGCATCCACCTTGCAGCCGCTCACGCTGGTGCTGCTCTGTCTATCCTGAGTTGCACCCTGGTCCCTGTCCTGGTTTCAGTGAGCAGTTGTTGTGGTGCTTGGCTGCTAGCCAGGGTCAAAACCATAACAGTCCCAATGCTGCAGGTGTGCCTCTGCCTTTCTGGCATGTCCTCACATGCCTCATTTCCCCACACCTCCTTGCCCTTTCCTAGGTCATCCTCCCCTAAAATGACGCAGCAGATGCGGGACCTGCAGCTGGCTCAGGCCAGGAAGCCGCCAGGCCCTTCCTCGCCGAACGCAGCCAAGAGGCTCTACCGAAACCTGTCGGGGAAATTCCGCGTCAACTACACATCCTTTGACGAGGGCAGCCTGGCAGCACGGGGCGAGAAGGAGAAGCTCCGCAAGTCCTACCTGGTCAGTTCCCACTGGCCGGGAAGGTGGGGATGGAGGGTCCGTGCGTGGGTGATGCGGACACCAGGATGGAAGCTGCCCTGGAGCAGGTTCACCTGGAGCTGATCCAGGTGTTTTCTCAGCATCATCCAGCTGTGTCTGCAAAGAGCTGATGCTCCTGAGACCCTGGGACTGAGCACCCCCCTGGTTTGGGTTTGTAGGGTGCTGGTGAAGGGCTGGGGTGTTGGGTGGTATGGAGGAGGGTGCCCCATGCTCAGCCGACCTGCGTTTCTCCCTCCATCCAGTTCCAGAGCAATGCTGCTCTCTTTGAGGCTGTGGAGCTGCAGGACCTAGACAGGGTCCAGGAGCTGTTGAAGCAGTACAGCCCCGAGGAGCTGGACCTCAACACCCCCAACAGCGAAGGGCTGCTGCCCCTGGACATCGCCATCATGACCAACAACGCTCCCATCGCCAGGGCCCTGCTGCAGGCAGGGGCAAAGGAGAGCCCGCACTGTGAGTTGGTCGGGGGGAGCTGTGCTGTGCCCATCAGCTGGGTCTCCAGCCTGGTGGAGTGGGGCACCGCAGGCACTAGGGTCTGGGTGAGGAGGTGGTCTCTGGACTAAGAGAAACTGCTGCAGGCTATAGCAGGGGTTCAAGTGGAGCCATGCACTCGGGTGACTCTGGGAGCAGGACACAGAGAGGGGGACGGGGTCTTGTGGTGGGGACTTGGTGCCGGCAGAGCCTGGGCTTGCCTTAACCACCTTCTCTTCCCTCCTCCAGGCTCCCCTCTCGGGACCCACGGCCGTGCCCACCCACCCTGCTTGGAGAGCCGCTCGCTGCACCTCTCGACGCTGGTGCGGGAAGCGGAGCAGCGCGTCAATGAGCTGATGGCGCAGGTGGTGAACGAGGCACCCAACGCCGACTGCTCCGAGAAGGAGAAGCAGCTCAAGGCCTGGGAGTGGCGATACCGGCTTTACAAGCGCATGAAGGCAGGGTTTGAGCATGCCCGTGAGTGGCCGCAGGAGAGTTTTGGGGGGCTGGGGGGCAGCCCCCACACTGGAGCAGGGCTGTGTGTGGTCCAGGCACAGGGCTGCACCAGCACCCAGCAGAGGATCCCCACACCCTGTAGCTGGGGCTGGGTGCATGGGGGGTGAGCGCTCTGGGAATGTGTCCCTGGCTGGGGAGGTCCCAGGAGGGACACTGAGGGGTTCAAAGTGACCATCCTCACTGTAGTGACCCCCTGTGGCCTCTGTCCCCAGGAGTGCCGGATGCTCCCACCAATGTTCACCTCTCCGTGGCCAGCAGCTCCTCAGTGCAGGTGACCTTCTGGGAGCCCCTGAGCGTGAACTCGGCCGTCGTCACCAAGTACAAAGGTAAGGGCTGGGGTCCCCAACCAGTGCAGGGGACACGCAGCCATGGCAAGCACCACGGGCGTGCCAGAGGGATGCGCTGAGGCGCTCACCCCGTGCATGCCACGCCAGGTGCCAGTGGCGTGGGCAGTGCTGCCAAGCCCCTGTCAAGCCTGTTTGTGCTGGAGCGCAGGAGGAGGCACGGCTGCATGCTGCCAGACAGCCCGGCCACCACCCCAACGATCTGAGCTGGACTGAACCACCGTCTTGCAGCAAGGCAGAACTCGGGGTGCCACTTGTTTGCTGCCCCCTCATCCCACACCCCAGGAGGGCTTTGCCATCCTGCCACTCCTGCACCCCTCACCCACTTAAACCAGATGTTTTGGGCTTCTGGGAGAATTTCCTTCATCTTCTTGACCCGTCATTTGAGGGTGTGGACCCTGCCTGACACGGCTCAGTGAGGAGGACCACAGCACCCCATGCTGTCCCCCTGCTGTGGCTCTCCCTCTTCCCCTGCCTTCACTCCACTGCCGCCAGCTCTGGTGCTGCCCGCGGTCCCTTGGCAGCTGGTGGCCCCGACAGGAGCCTGTCCCTGCTCCAGGGCCACGCAGCACCTTGGGGTCTGTCTCTCCTTTCAGTGGAGTGGAGCTGCTCCCCCACCTTCTCGCCGCTGCTGGGGGAGGCCGTGATCGACAAGCTGAAGAACCTGCACTTCACCATCCGGGGACTGGTGTCGGTGAGTTCTCGGGGTGCCCCACAGGGGTCTGGGCTGTGGGCAGGGGGAGAGCCCAAAGCCAGAAAAACCCACTGGCCACAGTGCAGCCTGTGGAGTCATCCTCTGCTGCCGATGCAGGGAGGGGATGGGGCATCATTTCAAGTAGGAGGAATAGGATTGTGCCCCAGTGGGGTTGAGCCCAGCCCGTGGGCAGAGCGAAGAGCGTGGCGCTGGGAGAGGCGTCTGTCTGTTCCTTCACGGCAGCGGCCGCCCCGGCAGGGGGGAAAACCCCTGCACGGGGTGCCTGGGGACTCCCAAGTGAAAGGCAGAATGGGCCCATTCACCGAGCGCCTGATTTATACTCTGTCCCCTACCTCGCTTCCGTCTCCATCTGTGCTCCTCCCACCCAATAAATCAGCGGCTCCTTTGCCACCTGCACAGCTCGACCCCTCGCACCAGCCCCGACACTCATTGGAGAGGGGGGGACCAGCCCCGTCGCCATCGCTGGGAGTTCTGCGAGGTCACGGGCTGGTTGGGGCTGGGACTCCCCACTGTTTTATCTCCCTGAGAACTGCAGGGGCCATGCTGCCTGGCAGCTGTCCCCTCCCCAGGGGCTGCACGCACCAGCCCGACGGAGGAAGAAGACAGGGCGGGATGGTGATGAGGGTAGGATGGAGCTTGGGATAGGAACCCAGGGAGCTGCTGGGATGGATGGAGTCGCCCTTGCCAGGAAGGTGAGGTGCTGAAGCTCCAGGGCGGGCAGGCAGGAGAACCCTCGGTGCGGTCAGGAGAGCTGCCCTGTGTATGGCAGGATGAGGCTCGGGCAGAGCCTGGAGCAGCGCTGCTGCAAGGAGCTGGCTCCAGCCCATCCATCATGCTTTCAGAGCTGCTTCACACGCTCCTGTCTGCCTTCATGAGTGCCTGGAGGCCTTGCAACATCTGGCAGCTTGACTGAGCTTTAATCAGAAGCCTTTAATCACTGTCACCGTGCCACAAGCCCTTGACAGCGTTGGGCCAGCTCCCTGTCTCCCAGGGCTGGATCCCTGCATGTCACAGCGGGAAGGCAGCATCCCGACCCTCCAGGAAGCCCCATGTCTTTGGGGCTGGAGCATCTCCCGGCAAGGGGCATTTGCAATGTCCCATCCTTCCTTTGCTTGCCCCCGCCAAACCACCCAGCTGGGCTGTGGGCATTCTCTAGTGTCTGATAACAAGAGTTTTGTACAGCTGGGAGAGGTCAGAAGCCAGGCTGTGGGCTCCCAGTTTAGTACTCCTTGTAGTGTACTGGCGTACTGGGCTGGGGGGGATCCTCCTTCCCTTGCACACTGAAGCACTGAGCGTGGCTTCCCTCCTCACAGGGCACAGCGTACTACGTCCAGGTGTCTGCCTACAACATGAAGGGCTGGGGTCCCCCACAAGCCTCTGTGCCCCCTTTCGCTATCCCTTCCAGTAAGTACCACTGGGAACACTCGTGGGAGCTGGCACTGGCTGTGGGGCAGGTGGAGGGAGGTGGCAGCTCCCTGGGCCATCCGGGGGTCCCTCTTGCTGCTGGGGTGGGGTCTGGTGGACCCAGGAGCAGAGGCAGTATTTGGGTTTTTTTCTGTGCCTGGGAGTCTAGGATGCTCCCGGATGCTCCAGCTAACAGGAGCTTTGCCAAATATGAATTTTTCAACCTGCAGTTCTCCTGGCTGCCTGGTAAAGGCTGAGCTGCTTTAGGCCACCCGTCTCAGCTCATCCTAAGGAGGACACTAGGAGAGAGGATGTTTTGCTTTCTCAAAGGAAAGCAATGCAGCTGTCTCCTCTGCAGGAAGGAAAAACATCCCCATGCTCTTCATCAGAGGTTTGTAATTCAGTGCAGGGCAGCTTTTGGGAGGGACCAGTCCTTACTGCCTCAGCGACATTTGCCTCAAAGTGGCCGAGGTTGTGTGAACCCCCTGTTGGCACGTGCTGAGGGGAGATGCGGTGGGATGCCCCAGCTCAGCCCCTGGAGTTGCCCCCCGAGCTCACAGCTGTCCCGGTCCTGGGTGGCAGGGGACCTGGAGCCCTCCCTGTGCCACCACATGGCACCGTACTGGCCATGTGCTGCTTCTGCCACGGGCTGTTGGAGTCCTCCCTGTGCCACCCCCCATCCAGCCCACCCCCAAGGACCTACCTTGAGCTGGGATGGGGGCATGAGCCAGCTGGGCTGTCAGCACTTGTCTCCCCATGCTGGCACCAGGGCAAAGGAGGGGGGAAAAGCCACCCAGTGTCACAAAAGGCACCCCAGGGTGTTGGGGAGACAGGGCAGGAGGACAGAACTGGAAGGAGCAGCCCCAAAGGGTGAGGTCAGGGCTGAGCAGGCTCCGGGGTGGCCTCTGCCCCTCGCCACCCATCCCCAGATGGGTCTCCACTGCACAGCAGTCCCATGGGATCAGCCTTGGCAGAGGTGTAAGGAGCAGCCCCGTTCACTGCTGGGAGCAGGCAGCGATGGGGGGGGACATCCCCCCCACCCCCCATGCTTGCAGGCAGAGCTGCTGCACAGGAGCAGCGAATGCACCACGTGGTGGATGCCCCATGTGCAGGGCGAGGTGCAGGGCTGAGAGCACGAGAAGAGGTACAGGGCTGGAGATGTGCAGACCCCACATGTAGCTTTAGCTGCAGGTACACAAGTACTGCAGCACCGCTATAGAAAGGTGCAAAAAATACATTTGCATGTATATGAATGCATATACCGAGCTGACGTATGCACTGCATTGCCCTGGCTTTACCCTGTCCTGGCAGTGGGTGTCAGGCACGTTTGCACCCACTGTAAAGCCCCTTTGCCACTCTGCATGGGTGATCAAGACCCATGCAGCATCAATACCGTGTGGCTCAAGTGAATCAGCCATGAGTGGGTTTTATTTATCTCCATTAATATTTCTCCCTTCAGTAAAGATCCCTCCCTGGCCCAGAAGAATATAGTCAGGCACCTCCCCGGGTGTTTTTAAAGCTCCTAAAAATAGTGGCGAGCCCCGGCCAAAGTTAACAGAGCTGAACTTTCCATGGAAAACAGCAGCAGGCAGCACACAGGGGGTGTTTAAAGCAATTAATGTAAAGCGAACATAGAAGCGCCGGTGGGTCCCCGGCACTGCTCCCGCTCCTGCTGCCGTCTTGCAACGGGTGGAGCCAGCGGGAGAGTTTATTTATGTGTTTGCCGAGGTGAGCCCAGCTCTTGGCACTCCCTCGGAGAAAGCTGCAGCTCTGGGGAAGACCTCAAGGAAGACACTGGAAAGAATGTTATTTTTTTAAAGCTGGTGAAGCGCAGCAGCAACAGACAGTACCTTGTTCTTTCCCTCTGCCGTGTCCCCGCCATGCTGCGGGGTGGCCAGTGGCCATGGGGTGCTGTGCAGAGCTGGGGTGCTCCTGGGAAGAGTGGCAGGAAACTGGGGATCTCCCAAAGCCCAGCCCACCCAGACGTGCCCGGCACCCACACCTGCTGCTGTGCTGTCCCATGCCGTGCTGTGCCTGTGGGACACCCCCCAGGGGGGTGCCAGGAGGTGACACACCATGGGGAGGAGGGGACGGGAACCCCTTTCTCCCCCAGGCAAGGGGTGCAGGGGGTGATGCTGGTCTGTCCCCAACAGACTGGCGGGAGTACGACGGCCGGGCCCCCCGGCGAAGGGGACAAGCTGAAGCTCTGGACCATCTGCTGGGGCAGGTGAAGACCGTCCACCAGCACTGTGTTTGCCATGGTGAGTGCGTGGCATGGTGCCGCAGGGAGGCTGGGGTCCAGCCAGGCCCCCCAGGGTTGTGACACAGTCTGTGAGACTGGGCTGGCACCAGGAGTAAGTCTTTCCCCTGTATGAGCATAACAAGGAGACAGCTCAGGCAGTGGAGACCTTGGCAGAGCCTTCCCAGTGGGTTGACATGTCGTGCCACGGGCTCCTGCTGCAGCATCTTCTGCTCTCTACTCCCCAGAGCCCTGCAAGAACCAGCCCCAGAGCAGGAAGCACTCAGTCTCCAAGAGCCTCAAGCACCTCTTCCACCCCAGCATCAAGTTTCTCAAGACACTGAAGCGGTGAGAGGCTGGTGCACAGGGTGGTGGAGAGCCTGACTCCTGGTGGGGACATGGGGCTGCCTGTCCTGGGCACTGCTGGGAGCTGTGGGCACAAGCTGGGGTCTGGGGGGACTCAGAGGTGGGTCCTTGCCTGGAGCTAGCTGGTGGTGTCAGTGGAGATGAGTCCCATTGCCTGGAAAACAAATGTTTGTCCGTGGTGTTCCCATTTGGACTGACCAACCTGCACCCATAGCCAGATCCCTGCACCATCTCTGTGCATCGCCATCACCCCACCATCCTCTAGACCCCACCACACTCCCACTGCTCACCTTCATGCTTGGCCTCCAGGCACTCCAGCATGTCTCCTACACAGGCCTGGCCCCATCACCCTCCCTTGTGCTGGCCAGGGCATCGGCCATGGCATCAGCTGGGGCATCGGCCAGGCTCATCTCACTGGCAGCGTTGGGTTCCTGTTCCTGCTCCCGTACTGGCAGTGTGCTCCTTCTGCCACGGGCTGTTGGAGAGGAGCTAAGACCTGGGGCAGGGCATCTTTGCCCAGAGAAGCTGTGGATGCCCCATCCCTGGAGGGGTTCAAGGCCAGGCTGGATGAGGCTTTGAGCAACCTGGGCTGGTGGGAGGTGTCCCTGCCCATGTCAGGGGGTGGCACTGGATGGGCTTTAAGGTCCCTCCCAACCCAAACCATTCTATGGTTCTATGATTCTATGATTCGATCCCCTCTGCCCTCGGGAGAGACACCTCTTGGGAAATGCAGCTGGCAGCTCGAGGTGACACTGAAGTCTGTCTTTCATCCCATTGCAGGGGCCTCTACCTGACAGCGATCTTCTACAAGGATGACAACATCCTGGTGACCCATGAAGACCAGATCCCCGTGGTGGAGATTGATGACACCTACTCCTGCCTCCTCATGCAGGATTTTCTCTGGTTCACCAAGGTGGGTGGCCTGGGTACCCTGTGCTGTGCGCTGGGGCACAGCAGCAGTGTTTCTCTTGACACATCTGTCATGATGCTGCTGAGATGATGGCCACCACCCCAGACACTGTGTCCTCCAGAGGTGTCACAATCTGCAGAGCACCTTCACTGCAGCACCTTCCCTGGTGCTGCCCACACAGGCAGCAGTGTCTGTCCTGCATGGGGCACGGCGGGGCTCTTGCGGGGGCTGATCTGGGGCCGGGAGCAGCACCCAGGGACACCCCATGTGCACAAAGTGAGCAGGAGCTCACTCCCTACTCACAGCAGATGATACAACATCTGGTGGCTCCCGGGCTTCCCAGCATTGTCTCCAGGACCCCCACTGTGGTACTGCCCTTGCACACTCTGTGGGGCAAAGCCATGCCAAGAGCCAGCAACAGTCTAGGAGTCCCGGGATGAGCTGAGCAGGCACTGGGCACCGCCACTGCTTTCGGCTGGCTCCAGCTTCTCCTCCACCATGGGCGCTGTGGCTAGGCAGTGCAGGCAGCCCAGAGGATTGCTGCTCCCCAGGGTTCAGCATGGACCGAAAAGCCACCAGAGAACTGCATTTCCACCCCAGCCCTTGGAAGCCCAAAGGTGGGCGATGGTCCGGCGCCATGCTGGGCAGGCTGCGTGCCGTGATGGGTGGGTGATGGACTAGTGCCGTGCTGGGCAGGCTGCGTGCCATGATGGGTGGGCAACAGACCGGTGCTGTGCTGGGCAGGCTGCATGCCGTGATGGGTGGGCAATGATGGGCTGGCAACAGACCGGTGCTGTGCTGGGCAGGCTGCGTGCTGCGATGGGTGGGCGATGGACCAGTGCCATGCTGGGCAGGCTGCGTGCCGCGATGGGCGGGTGGTGCCTCTCCACAGCTGTTTAACTGCTTCACCGCAGCATCCTGCCGAAGCAGCTCTGTCTCTTGTACAGAGCAGGACGTGCAGCGTGCTGCTGCCTGGTCCTCCACTGTTGGTGGGCCCAGTGAAAGGGCAGGTGGGCAGCTCAGGGACAAAATCTTTTGCTGAATGGTCTTTTAGGCAATGGCCCAGGTTGCCCAGAGAAGCTGTGGAGGCCCCATCCCTGGAGGGGTTCAAGGCCAGGCTGGATGAGGCTTTGGGCAACCTGGGCTGGTGGGAGGTGTCCCTGCCCATGGCAGGGGGTGGCACTGGATGGGCTTTAAGGTCCCTTCCAGCCCAAACCATTCTGGGATTCTATGATTATCTACTGAGGGAGAAGGCTATCTTCTCCCTCCTTCTCTTAGCTGTCTTCTGTTCAGCCTTAAGAAGGTCTCAGTCTTAGATTGAAGATGGATACCTGAGTGGACACGGCATGGTGCTTACCTCAAGTACAGGCTCTGGAGGCACTTCGGGGTCCCTGTGGCATAGGAAATCACCCCTCTGCTGAGAGGTGATAAGCGTACTGCACCTTCCTAACACGGCTCAAACAGAAAGGCAAAGGGATTTCCCCAAAACACCTTCATGTGACCCAGCAGCAGTTTTTTACGGCCCTTTGGTGTGCTGCAGGTGTCATGCATGTGGGATGAGATCCTGTGGCTGCGGCAGTGTGTCACCGTCTCCCAGTCGTCCTGCTCCTGCATCCTGCAGACACGCTTCAAGATGCTACTGGCCATCTCGCAAATGCAGGTGAGGGTGGGGGTGTGTGGGAGGGTGGGGACCGAGCCCTTTTTGGGGGCCACTGTGAGCCAGGCTCCCTTGGGAGCAGCATGCGGATGCGCCACACCTAAGAAAA